GTTGTTTAAAAAAAAAAAAAAAAAAAAAAAAAAAAAAAAGATTAAGAAAGGGAATTTTCAAGGAAAAGGAAAGTGGGAGTCTGATGCAGTGTGAATTTCAAATAGAAGGATCATTAGATGAAGTCTGGGGTCCACATGACAGGGAAAGGACTACATTTTGTGCATCTCAGAGGAAGAGCTGGCACCAAGACTCATTGCCTGCCCATGTGAACACCCTCAGGCACTGATGGGTAATTAATGCATTAGGGAGAGGAAAGCCATGCGATGTGTGCACAGATTGATAGAGGGCTTCTCTCTGCCGAGAGCACTGTCTGGGAAGAGGTGCCCAGCTATGCTGTGGTTTGAGGGGAACACAGTGCAGTGACTCTGTCCTTTCTCTTTGTCATTCTCAGGAGGATCAATGAGCTCTACCTGCCCAAGTTCTCCACCTCCACTGACTACAGCCTGGAGGGCATCCTTTCACAGCTGGGCATCAGGGAAGTCTTCTCCACACAGGCTGACCTGTCTGGAATCACAGGAGACAAGGACGTGAGAGTCTCTAAGGTAAGCCAAGATGTTAGGAAAAAGCACGCTGGGTATTGTGGTGGATTCCATGGCAGGCAGGGGTGAATGACAATGTGGTGGACAAACATGCCAGGCAAAGAGAGCTTAAGTGAGAAGTTTGTTAGAAAGGAAGGGGGGGAGAAAAGAGACACAAGACACAGAGAGGACACGAGAGAAGAGGGAGACAGGAAAAGTCCTGTCTGCCCCAGGGGAACAACAGAAAAGAGAAAGGGAAAGAGAGAATGGAGAGAGAGGGAAAGAGAGAGAAGAAAGGGAGAGCAGAAAGACAGCTGCAAAGAAAGGATCCAGAAAGATAGCATAAGTGGGTGGGAGACTTTCTTTGAAAGGGGTCCTTAGCACCTGTGCTGACCAGGGTACTGCCTGAATGCTTTCTGCCAGGGGATGGAGGCAGGCCAGCATAATGCCTGACTCCTTACACAAGACATACTGGGTGGTTGTCATTGGTGCCTGAATGTGCATGGTGAAGGCCAGTTGGGAGGGGGGATGGTAAATGTGTGAGAAAGCCTGCATTTCCGAGATTCCCTCCCCCTGAGAGATCGGGATTACAATCTAAATAGTCCTGTTGGATACCATACAGCCAGACATTCCTTTACCCCCTGAATACATCCTCACCCAGGAACCTGGATGGGAAAGAGCCTGTGCTTGGTCTTCAACTATCATGAGCACCAACTTGTACGGTAGTGAGGATGCCACCCACAATGCACTGCAGGAAAAAACACTTCCAGACTCGGCTTCTTCACTGCGCAGCTGGCCTAGTACTTCATGACAGTTACACAGAACATCACCAGTAAAGGAAATAACAAGGGATGAATGCACTCGAGATAAAAAGCTTAAGAATAGGAGAGAGATGTGTTAGGACTTCACACTACTTTCCTAAACACACAGCCTGGCCATGCCTGGTGTCCTGTCCAGTCCCCACTCAGAGCCCTGGGCTCAGATCTGTACCAGCAGGGCATGGCAGTGTGGGAATGAGAAGCCATGCCCTGTGCATTGCTGTTGTATGTCCCAAGGAGGCTGCAGCAGGAGGGATGCTGAAGCCTGCACTGGCTGCCAGCACCCTGGCTGTCCCCTGTGGCTCTCCTGAGAAGCTGGTGTTGAGTAAGGACTGGCGTTGCCTATACCCATCCTCTAGAGTGTCGAGGGTTTGAGGGCAACACAGATTCTCAGAGACTGAGCAGACGCAGGGCATGCCTTACCTCACACCCTGAGCAGAGACTTGGAAACCCCAGGGTGAGAGCTCGTGCAAGGAACAAACAATTACACCAGCAGAATCTCCTCTCCTGCCCTCCTGGTCTCCAGTGAGTGATGTCTTTCTCCTACAGGTGGTCCACAAGGCTGTGCTGGATGTGGCAGAGACGGGCACAGAGGCAGGGGGGCCCGCCACAGGAGTCTTGAAGTTGGGATCGGCTCTGATTTTGAACCCTCTGAAAATGCATTTCAACAGGCCATTCCTGATGATTATCTCTGACACAAACACTCAGACTCTACTCTTTATGGCCAAAATCACAAATCCCAAGCAAAACTAAAACTTTCCAAGTGTTGAGACTTCTTCTCAGGAGCCAGGATCAAACCTATATGGGAGGATCTGTCTGCATGTTTGCTTCCATGCTCGGATTGTCTGTGGCATGCCTGGATTGAACAATAACAGTGACTAACCGTATGACTACCACATACACAATGGCCTGTGGACAGTCAGTGTCAGTCTCCCAGCCCTCTTGGCAGCACTAGCTCATGTTCCTGAAGCTGAAATCTGTCTTTGTGGCCCTTCCCTTCTGCCACTTCTTTATCTGCCTCTACCCATATGCCTGGTCCCTGGCAGGTAGGCTCAACCCTATCTAGGTTTTTGCTATGCCTGCCTTCAGCTTCCACAGCTCTCATGGAATTATGCAAACTTACAGGTGAACCATGTGTCTCTCAGCCCCTGGACACAGAAGGGAACCTGCTACCCTGTGTCTATTCCTAGCATCTGGGGAACACTTGGTACCTAGTTCTTGCCCCCCTTTTTCTCTTCCATTCACTGTCCCGTCAGGTGCTCCTCACCCTTCCCACATCTGGCACAGTGTTGGGGCCTTCATTCTTGCAGCTGCATGGAGCCTGTTTGTCAGATCGGCTCCTTTCTCCCTTCTACATCTCCTTAGGGTAGAGGAGCGTTTCCCTAGTTTCCTAATGATCACACACACACAACAGAAGAACTCCTCCTACCTAACCCAAACTGCAGGTTTGAAGCAAAGGATCAATAAATACAACTGCGTGGAAAGTGGTCAGGCAGTTTCACTCAGCTCCTGTTGGCAGGGGCATGGCCTCTAGTGACAACAGGGTAGTAGAGATTGTCACTCAAAATCTATGACTTGTGTGATGGACCTCTCAACTTATGGTATCATCATTCCCTTTTGGATGAGGAAACTAAGCACCAAAAAGCTTAGTCATTTTTCCATGATTCATGGCTAGACATTTTGACTGGCACAATGTTCTTCAAGTGTTCTGATGCCCGAGGAACAGTCTACACAAAACTGGAGATTTGTGCCCAAGGCATCACCATAGTGGTGGCAGGTAGATCATAAAACAAGGCTCAGGATGCGTCACAGAGAAAACCCACATGAGTGTGGGAATCATGAGACCTTTGTGCTGAGGTCAGAGGAGGATGAGAGTGTGGTCACAGTGGGCTTAGGAAAAGGGCAAACAGTCCTTGGATGGCAAAGAGCCTGGCCCTGTGAGGACCCTCAAATGACTGGGAACCATAGAGAACTCTGCATAGGTGAACCACTGTTCCTGTCTTGGTACCCTGGTAACTCTGGGTGTCTATAAGACAGAACTGCTCTGGGCAAATGTGGGATTGTACTATGGCAGTTTCAGAGAACATCAGGCCACATCTGAGAGGAAAATGGGTTTTTCAGATCAAGGATCAACTGATTTAGTGCCTGGGTAGAAGACAAGAGTGGACCACAGTGAATTTGGGTTGGGGTTGGGTGGTCATGGAGAATCTTAGAGTCCAGAAACACATTCAAACTATAACGCTTCCCTACAAAGCATGATTCTATTTCTTAAAGTAATACTTAACAACAACAAAAAAAACAGGTAGTAGGAGGGAATGGCGAATCTGTAGTTTCATAAGTCAAGCCTATGTTGCCCTACCTATTTGCTGCCCACATTCTATCCATGAGGTACTAGTGATAACTGACACTCTCACAGAAACGTCACCACTGCATTGAAGAGTCTACATGGCTCATTGATGAAAACCTCATGATCATGCAGAGTGCAGCATTGTTTTATGGAAATAAATTATTTTGGGTTATGACTTTGTCCCCATAAATACCCTTTTATCACTGAACATGTAAAGTGAATGGGCCACTAAGTTTCACCTGTTGGGGTTTTATAGAGAACAAAAGTTATAAGAAGAATCTCTATATAGAGAAAGAGATTTGTGGCAATGGCTTACACACTGGGGTCCAATTACTCCAACAATGGCTGTCTACCAAACAAAAGTCCAAAAAGGCAGTAGTTAGTCAGTGTACAATGATAAATGTCTTACCTGATTTTCAGCGTATCCTGGGATCCTGAGGGAATAGGCTTTGATACCAGTGAAGGAGTGGACTTGCCAGTGAGAGCAACAGGCAGAGAGAACAAGCATTCCTCTTTCATGTACTTATAGGTTGCCAGAAGAAAGTGTGGCCTTTATTAAAGGTGGGCCTTCCCACCTCAAAAGATCCAGAGTAAATGTGTCTCTCCCTATTTCAAATTATTATTTAAGAAACATTTCCTGGCAGGAATTGCCTGATGCTTGAGTTTTACTTAACTCCAGATGGAGTCAAGTTGACAATCACAAATCCACCCCTTGTCACCTTGACAATATGTCTCCTTAATTGATGCTTAATTTCTCATTGGAAACAATAAGCAGGTCTTAGCTATGTCTTGCATGTTTTAACTATCACATGTACAACTGCATATATTTATTGTACAGTATATATTTAACATGTCAAAATTATACCTAATGACATAACTATGCTTTATCTGACCACAAATGCATTATTAATTTTATAATAGGCAGTGGAGAGTCATTATTTTAGTATGTCTAAATTGAATATTACATCCACTTGTATTCTCTGAATTGATGTTACATTGCATGATAAAGAAATTGAGGAAAGAAAACACAAATATGTTTACAAACACATTCTTAACAAAAAATGACAGAAACACTCATGTTAGTTATAACCCTCATTTCTGGAACTGGTCACAGAGCATTCACTTGTATTTATAACTATGTTACTCCACCACCTACTCTGTATTTCCTGCACAATCAACAAGCACCTCACCTGTTCTTTCTTCTTTCCTAGAGAAGTGACCCATGCCTTCATGCCCTTTGTCATACTGTCTGGACTAGATTGTTATAGTTTCCCTTGACTGTAATGTCAGGACATGATAACAGAAAGAGATGTTCTAAATGATCACATGAACTCCAGACATAATCTTTCTTCCCTACACTATGGAGAAGAAATTCAATCCTGTTTGGTTATCTGGACCAATCATTCCACTTATCTCAGTTATTCCATTCTTAGACTGTTGGATAAAAGCTATTAGAAACCCAAAGTGGCTAGGTAGAGGTCTGAGTTTTCAGTTAAGTAGAATGTTTTATCTCATGGCAGAGGCAATCCAGCCTCTAGAACCAAAATTTCTAGGCCAGCAAAATTTATGTCATGGGAATAGCAATCAAAACTCTTCAGTTGGATCACTAATGGTGACTGTGTGTAGAACCCTTCCCTCTTCATCTCCTCACTCTTGGACCTGGGGTTCTGGTTACAGGAGAAACCATACCATATTTTGGACAATGATTTTATGCAAGCATCGCCTTCTGGAGAATGCTGCCACAGTCCTCCAGACTGTTTTTGCATAATTAGCACTGTAACTGTGTCTTCAAAGGTCAGCTGCTTCAGGGTGGTGGGGGACATGGTAGGATCAGTGGAATCTTACTTCTCAAGCTCTGAAGTGAGTTCCTTGATCAGAAGCAGTACCATGTGGAATAACATGATGGTTGATTAGGTGTGCTATAAGTTCATGATGATGGTTTTGACAGAAGCAGTCCGTGCAGGAAAGGTAAATCCATAACCAGAATAAGTATCTGCTCCAGGGTCTTAGACTGAGACTCTACTGCTTTGAAGAGACACCAGGACCACAGCAACTCTTACAAAGGAAAACATTTCATTGGTCTTTGCTTAAAGTTCAGAGGTTTAGTCCATTATCATCATGGCAGAAAAGCATGGCAACAGGCAGGCAGACACTGTGCTGGACAGGAGCTGAGATTTCTACATCTTGATCTGCAGGCAGCAAAAATGAACTAAAACACTTTCTCCAACCATGCCACACCTACTGCAATAAGACACACCTCCTAATAGTGCCATTCCCTGTGGGCAAAGCATTCAACGGCTTGAGTCACTAGGGAAAACCACCACATCCAGTAAGGACAAACTATTTCTTTTTAGACAAAGAAGTGATATGATGTGGTCAACTCTCCATCAGGTGACTGCCTAGTTATATAGAAAAATGATGCCATTTCTGGGGTTCAGTGTTGAGCTCTGCTGCTGGCAGGTCTGGCACTCAGTGGCAGATAAAGCCAGGTCAGCCTTGCTGACTGGTGGTAAACGTGGTCAAACCCATACATAACCCTCATCTCTATCTCCATGACCACTTTGTTCATGGGCCATGTGCTGGGTGGTCTATGTCAACTTAGCACACAAACAAATCATTAAATCAAAGAAGGAAACATTTTTTTAGAATATGCTTCCATAAGATCTGGCTCTAAGGAAATTTCTTAATTATTTACTGAAGAAGGAGGGCCCAGCTCATTGTGGCTGGTTGCATTCCTGTACTGGTGGTTCTATAGGAAAGAAAACGGAGCAAGTCAGAGCAAGCAAATCAGTAAGCAGCATCCCTCCAGGACCTCTGCATCAGCTCTGTCTCGGGTTCTGTTTAGTTCCTCTCCTAAGTCTATTCAATGATGAACAGCAAGGTAGCAATGTGGAGGAAAAAGAAAAATATACCTTTTCCTTCTGATCTTGCTTTTTGGTAACAGTGTTCTGTCACAGCCTTAGAAAACCCTAAGTAAGACAAGATGGTACCAGCGTGGTGGGGTATAGCTATGACAGACCCACTAGGGTTTGGGGAGGATTGTGGAAGGACTTTGGAACTTTGGGCTAGAAAAGCCCCTGAGTGTTGGGATGTCAGTGCTATATGTTCTGTGGGAACTGGAAGACAAGAATGTGGAGAGCTGTCAGAGGATGGAGGCCTGGCTTGTGATGTTTCAGAGGGAAGTTTAAAGACTCGATTGAGTCCCTGGAGGGGCAAAATGGCAGAAAAGAAAGCAGAATTTCTATGAGAGCAGGGTAGGGATCTTAGAGCTGATTCACTCTGTCTGGACTGAAGGGGAGCTGGGTGACCTTGCCTGAGGTTGCTAACATTTCTGGGAAGGCTGGCATGTCTCCTGGCAAACAGAAATGCACCATGGGTGATCTGCTTCTCTGGTACACAGAGCCCTGCATTTAGGCTTCAGTTGAGATAGCTAAAATTCTCCTTGTTAGGACCAGCACCTCCATTTTGGGGACAGAAAATGGGACCTGACCCCTGCCTGCTGAATGTCTAGCCCCACTGTTGACACAAACCCCACAGCTGTCATCCTGAGTTCAATTCCCAGCAAACACATGATGGCTCACAACCATCCGTTATGAAATCTGGTGTCCTCTTCTGGTGTGCAGATATAAATGGAGGCAGAATGTTGTATACATAATAAATAAATAAAATCTTTTTAAAAAGAAAAAAAGAATGTCACAAATCAAGGTAAGTTTAAAATGCAGGGGTGGGAACCTCAGAGAGGCAGGTGCTTCAAGATGGGGGCCTCTCTACAGGCTCAAGATGTTATCTGCTGACATCCTTAGCTATTGGATTGAAGCTGATTGTCTATAAGTTAATAGACTCTATTGTCACAAGGTTTAGTTCTGACACAGAGGGAGCAGACATGGCTGTTCCAGAGAGAGGCAGCACTTAGCCCAGGTGAAGGTAATTAGGCTCTGTCCTGCAATGTCCCCATCTCTATACAGTACTGCACTCAGATCAGCCAGCCAGGCTCCACAGACACAGATTCCTTTCAGGGGTTTTCCTTCACCAAAAGACAAGGAAGATTCCCTTCAGAAGTCTGATAGCCCAAGAAGGAAAGCAAGTCTCTATTGCAAACATGCCCATTGCTGCCAGACAGGACGGTTACACAGGAGCAGGTGGGATTCTGTCAACATTGAGGCATGTGTTTATTAATGTGTGAGCCTCCCTAAAGAATGGGGGTCATGGACAGAGAGTTGTTGTGTTCTTTTCTAAGGGACTTAGAAAGCACAGGACAAATGCTAGCCATAGCACTACTTGATGAGAAGTAGAGAACGGTCATGCACACTTGTTTTGCTTATAACTCTCCCCCTTTCCACCTAGACAGTTTTTACCTCTGACTTTGCATCTGCATTTGATAAACAGAAGATAGTCCCCGGAGATCCAGGAGGATTGTTCAGAACCCATCTGGGCATTTTCACATCAAGAGGTGGTTCAGCTAGCATGAGCCTCTAAATCCACGTTACAAGAAATCATCCTGTCTGCCCATTTCCAGGATGAGCATAGAGCACAGCTTGTATGTGCCAGCATTTCCTAAGAAGAGGGAGGAGTCACTGGTGGGGATAAATAGACATCAGTTGCAGTGGGGAGAAAATCACGAAAGGCAGGTAGCAACCAGGAACATCAGGACTCAGCGGTGAAAGACACTGGCGGCGGCGGAATCAGCTCTGCAGGTAATGCTAGGATTCCTACCCACTGTGGGGGGAAAAAAAGGAGCCTTCCAAGGACTGAGTGGTACTGGTGTGATGACCTGGAGTCTTAGTGTGGGAGGAGCTGTTCCTGGTTGTATTCAGGGGACAATTCTGGGTTGCATGAAAATCTTCTCTCCAGTCTGGGTCTTCATGTCTATGGAAGATAAGGGTACCATGGGCTATGCTCCTGGAGAGTGAATGGAGCCTGCTCCTTCTGACCATCCACTTCCTGTTAATAACAGGAAGTATTAACTAGTCTGTGTGCTGCTGTTGGACCCATTTTGACACAGGACTGATGCAGAGTCCCTCTGGGGGAGGTGGCAGCCCTGCCATGTTTACAGCTGAGGGTCAGGAGCACTCTTCCCTTGTAGATCCCTTGGCCTAGCAGAGTGGATTCACCCTCAACTAGGGAAGGAAGAAGGCACTAGCTGAGCCACTGAGCCTGGTCTCCTGCTGCACACAGTGAGCAGCCCCTTTCCTCTGGAAACAAACCAGCACGACATATGGTTCAGTGCTTTGCCAAAGAAATGGTGGCAGCAGGCTAAAAGTAAACACTGAGTAAAGGCAGCCAAAGTCCTTGGCTCCTCTGCAGGCATGTGACAGCCCTGGGTACAAGTGGCTTAGCTCCAACACTTCCTCCTCTGCTCCCTCAATTCCCTGTATGCCATTCTATGCTCCTCTTCCAATCCACCATCCCTTGGGCCCCTCCTTCCTCCTTTCCTTACCCCGCCTTCCTTCTATCTACCTGTTCCTTTCTTTCCATCCATTTTCCCACTCTTTCTAAATTTCTCCACCCCTTGTTGTCCTCTCCCCCCTCTTCTTCCTCTCCCTCTCACTCATTTACCAACCACTGTCACCTTTGGACACCTGAACAAATGGACAGAGGGTAAAGGTGGGTGCTCGTATTTACCATAATCGCAAACCTTCAGCTGAAGTCCTTTAGGATACACATGGCCCCCACTCCAGGGGTGTATGGAAGAGATGGGCCTCTAGACATTCCCTACATCGAAACCCCATTTAACCCCATAATAAGCCAGACACTCACCAATAAGGTACCCTGGGATACTCACCAGGCTTCCGATAGATTTCCACCCATTTGCTTCTTACCAAACAGCCATCCCAAGAGCCAAAACAAACTCTGCTCCAGGTGTCAGAGATAAACACCACCCACCTTTCTTCCTACCAGGAGGCTTTCCAAGCCTGAGGTGCAAACCACCATGTGGGTCCCTGGCAGGGATGAAAGGACCTTGTCCTGTTTGTCCTTCCACCACGTGTTTTAAGAGGGTACCAATAATTTGGCACTGCACCAGACATCACCAGGGATGCCTCTCAATTACTCCTCCCCAAGCCCAGCTTCATGCACCAGATTCAGTCAAGGGCCTTACGATTTCCCAGACTTGTCACCAAGAGGCCAGGTCAGGGCCTGTGCTACTTCTGCTCCAAGGTACCTAAGTTCTGTGGTGGTGTGGTTGTGCCCAAAGTAAGAGGAATCACAGCCTTCTAATGAATCCTTCTGCAGAGAGAAGGAGAGAGACATTCTGATCACACAGGGCTGTGCCCATCCTTTTACTTCTCTCCTGGCTTGCTCTGTGAACCTGGCGTGTCCAGGAGCCTCTTTGGATCTTGCTTCTGTGTAAGGAGAACTGGCTACTGCAACAGCACTTCCTCCCATGATGACAACAGGGAGCCCATGATGTGGGTCTGATCTGAGTGGCCAAAGCACCTCCCATGCATGGTCAAGGAGGCATCCAGGGGCAGCAATGCAGCCCTGTGAAAGGACAAGGACATGGTCAGGACACACCGGGCCACCCCAGACTCAAATGATCTTTGCTTTACAGATCAGAGAAGATGGCCCTCCTTGTAACTCTGGGGCTCTTGATGGCAGGGATCTGCCCTGCCATCCTCTGCCAACAAGAGGGCACATTGGGAAGGAACACTGAACTTCAGGAAGATTGGAAAAATGGGACAAAAGTGGACAGTCTAACCATGGCCTCCATCAACACTGACTTTGCCTTCAGCCTCTACAAGGAGCTGGTTTTAAAGAATCCAGATAAAAACATCGTCTTCTCCCCATTCAGCATCTCATTTGCCTTGGCCTTCCTGTCCCTGGGAGCAAGCAGCAACACCATGGAAGAGATTCTGGAAGGTCTCAAGTTCAATCTCACAGAGACCCCTGAGGCAGACATCCACAGGGGATTTGGGCACCTCCTCCACATGCTCAGCCAGCCAGAGGACCAGGTGCAGATCAGCACAGGCAGCGCCATATTTGTTGAAAAGCATCTGCGGATCCTGGCAGAGTTCAAGGAGAAGGCAAGGGCCCTGTACCAGGCGGAGGCCTCCTTGGCTGACTTCCAGCAGCCTCATGAGACCAAAAAGCTCATCAATGACTATGTGAGCAAACAGACCCAGGGGAAGATCAAGGAACTGATTTCAGACCTGGATATTCAGACAGTGATGGTGCTGGTGAATTACATCTTCTTTAAAGGTGAGGATGGCCACTATTTCAGGGTGGATGGAAAGGATGTTGGCTGGGTACGTTGTATACCTTATGCTGACCACTGGAAAGGAGGGGCTCATGGCCTTGGATACATGGGTGCCTACCTTCTTATTACCAGCAGGCCTTACTTCTGCTTTGATATATATATTTGTGGTTCCTTGTACATGTTGGAAATGAATCCTTAGCTCTACTCTAAGGGGACTAAATTTGGCTGTGACTTAAACTTCCTGACTAACAGAATGCATAGCTTGTGTGCCCAGTCTTACCTGAGTGTGCAGAAGCTGTGGTTTCTCCCTTCAGAGACAGGGTCCCTCAGTCTGCCCACCCCAGCTTTTCTAATGTGCTCCTATAGAAGGTGTCTATCCCTGCTGGAGAGCCTCTGTCTCTAGGAGGGTCCAGGTGGGCTGGGGACTTCTTAACCTAAGGAGTCTGGCTGCCTGAACTTAAAGGGGAAAGTAGCACACTTGACTTATAAGTATTCAAGAGCCCTATGGGTGGTAATTCCTATGCAGGACCCCTCCCTTGAACCATTTCAGAAATGAGCTGGACCTGCAGTGAAAACCAGGATTCTGGAGAAGAGATCAATGAGAGGGAAGTGTCAGCCAGGCAGTGTTCTGTGTTTAGTGTATGGCTGCTTCCTGGAAATTTGCTTTTGTAAAATTGCTATCTCAGCAGCTTGAAGGTCAGAATGCCCAGCCACACTCCGGTGACAGCAAGGCTGATAAGAGTTGGGTGCAAGAGAGTTGAGAGACTCAGCTGGGGATGTATGGGTAAGGTTAGTAGGGGACATCCAGAGACCACACCCTCAATACTCTTCCTGATAGAAATCAGGGAGCAAGGTGACAGCCAAGAGCCTGGTGCCTGACAGAAGTCATGATGTAATCAGAGCTGGGATAGATCTGGGGCTGGATTAAGGAAAGTCCAAGGTAGAGGAAAAGCAGGTTCTGAAACCATGGACAAAAAAATCAAGGTGGCCATGGACAGGTAAAGAATAAAGAAAGGAGGACACAGGACATGAGGACAGAATGGCTGCAGAGCTGCTGTGGGCTGGGAATGCTGGAAGCACAGTGATGGCCTGAAGGTAGAGACTGAAGGGCATGGCTCTCTAGCATCAGGACCCAAGCTCCAAGGCTGCTTGGCTGTGAGGTAGGGATGCATGTTTAGACTGCAGGATCCTGAGCCCAAGCAATTGCTTCAGTACCAAGTCCTGCAGAGTGGGTTGGTAATGGGGACATAACCTAGGAATCTGGGATAAGCCTGAATGGGATATCTGTGCTTTGTGGAGGTGGCCATGGCCCATGTGTGAACTGAAGACATGCAACTCACATATTAGTCCCCAATCTATGGGACCATGGACTGCTCATGGTGTGGGCGAGTTCTGTCTCTCTAGTCCTGTTTCCCCTAAAACCTGTCCCAAAGACATTGCCTTCCAGACATGATTCCTCCTGAGCAAGACAGGATCCCAACTCTCTCCAGGCTTCAGTCCACCACTGTCATCCTCATCTCTCCCTTCCCCACCCCATGCCCAGAACCCTGACTGTTATTCAGGACTCAAGTAGCTGGGCTGTGGTTTCAAGTTCCCTTTCCAAACCAAGCTTGGAGTCTCCTCTCATCTCTAGGAATTTGTCCACCTAACAAGTTTCTTTTTCCAATCCTTCACAGTCTTCTTCTTGTCCAAGTGGAACTCGGATTCAAATGTGTCAAGAGGGTCAAAGGCTGTCTTCCATTTTCCTAAAGATTTGCCACCCCTGAGGGGACACACTGTGCTGTTAAAGAAGGGTTGATTGTTGTCATAACTTAGATTCTGGATACAAATGGGATGGAGATGGGGCTCTCAGGCGATGTTACTATCTGATGACCTCCATCTTTAGGAAAATGGGAGATGGCCTTTGACCCTCTTGATACATTCGAATCCGAGTTTCACTTGGACAATAAAACGACTGTGATGGTGCCCATGATGAACATTGAGGACCTGACCACACCCTCCTTCCGGGATGAGGAGCTGTCCTGCTCAGTGGTGGAGCTGAAGTACACAGGCAATGCCAGCGCCCTGTTCATCCTCCCTGACGAGGGCAAGATGCAGCAGCTGGAAGCCAGCTTGCAGCCAGAGACCCTGAGGAGATGGAAGGACTCCCTGAAGCCCAGGTACGTGTCCACAGGAACCAGAGCTGGTGGCTCCCCATCTTGCTGTTGGCCTGAGGCCTAATGTCCCTGTACCTCAGAGTCTCACTCATATCCTGTGAAACGATTGGAGAGTGAGTCAGGACAAGTGGAGTGGAGGTGAATTTCCCTCTGCTGACTGGGTCGTTTGGGGACTGAATTTACTCTTGTTCACAAGATGACATCAGCTGCAGCAGGAGCTGAGGAGTCCTCTGTGTCTAACATGCTGTAATTACAAAGAATCTTGAATGGGTTTGGAAGGCAGAGAGAAGTGAGGTTGAGATGATACCATCTCTGAGCATCAGCTCTGTCCTGTGTAGGCATCTCTTCCCATCATCACATGTTCATTCACCATTAGTGCAATGATGACTTGAAGACCTACTAAGTGCCCAGCTCTGATTTAGACCCTGCGTGGATATCAGTGACTAAAGCACAGTTTTTCTAACCTTGAGAGATCATAATGTGATTGAGGAAGAGTGAGCATGGTCATGAAAATACAATTATTATATGATTAATTAAAAGATGGGGAAAGCTGGGTGGTGGCAGTGCATGCCTTTAATCCTAGCACTAAGGAGTAGAAGTAGGTCCATCTCTGAGTTTGAGGCCAGCCAGATTTACAGAGCTTGCTTCAGGACAGCCAGAGTTACACAGAGAAACCCCCCATCTTGAAGAAAAATGAAAAAGAAAAACAATATATCGAGATCTTTGGGTACCAGCCCCTCAAACTGCTCAGGGTTCAGAAAGAAAGCTTACAGCAGTGTGGGACTTAGAAAGATTTGAAGACAAAATGTATTCTCCACTGTGAGCTTTTCAGCATCAGTTTCTTATTGTTCTGTTCCTACTCTAAAAATCCTACTTCTCATTCCTCCTAGCTTCTTCTTTCAGATTCTTTCATCCTCAAAACCCTTCTCCTACAGGAGCCTTGAAGGGATAATGAAATTACAAGAGTTACCTTCTCACTGGTCACAACAACATTTCTACGATAAGCGATTATGGGGCTGAGTCATTGTCATAGAAACATAAGGTCCCAAGGCCAAAGGAGGAAAACCTTGTCTAGATGGGGTGGGGGCACAAGGCCCAGTGACAACTTTGAGACACAGATCCATTGTTAGTAGACTGGCAAATGAAGAATCGGCATGCTTTTCTTTGTAACCATGGTTGGACATCTGTGGCTATGACCTTGTGCATAGCTGTAAGGTTTCAAACTTATGATCTATTTACAAAGGCCTTTAGTCTAGTTACTTGCTCTGAGGGTAAAAGTTAGCTAATTGTGTGTAGTGAGTCTGAGTAAAGGAACAAAGCAGGTTATTAAGTGTCCATAGCCCCAGTATATATTCTATGTGTCAAAATCATAAAGCTAAATGAAAAGTCATCTTCTAGACCACTCATAGATATATGTGCCCATGGAATGTTTTCATGAGATTAACACACAGGTAGTGAGAGAATACCCAAAGCTATTCTTAGAGAAGAAATGAAGTTCTCAGGAAGAAATGAAGTCACTCATGAGAGAAATTACAGACGGGAGCAACTGGTTTCCACAGCCGGAAACTCCATGGCCTTGCCAAGTGGAGTTCCCTATTAAAGGATCACCCATCTGGTAGGTTGGCCTGTTGAACACTAATGAGCACCTGCTGTATCTCTCATGGCCCCTGACAATAACAGAGAGAGAGAAAGAGAGAGAGAGAGAGAGAGAGAGAGAGAGAGAGAGAGAGAAGAGAGGAAGGAAAGGAGAAAGAAAGAAAGAGTAACAGAAAGAGAGAGAGAAAGAAATAAAGAAGGAAGGAAGGAAGAGAGAGCGAGAGAAAGAAAGAAAGAAAGAAAGAAAGAAAGAAAGAAAGAAAGAAAGAAAGAAAGCTGAGATGTATTGAAGTAAAGAAAGGGAAAGTCCAGGGATAATGATAGCTAGAGTCTGATGCAGTGTTCAGTTTTTAATAGAAGGATCATTAAATGAACTCTGAGGATCCACATCATGGGGGAAGGACTTCATTTTGTGTATCTCAGAGGAAAGCATTCTCTACAGGGGAAGAGCTGGCACCAAGACTCATTGCCTACCCTGTAAACAAGCTCAGGCACTGATGGATAAATAATGCAATAGGGAGAGCAAATGAAGTGGTCTAGGCATGTGTGGAAAGAGGGCTGCTCTCCAGTGAGAGGTGGATTGCATGGCACGTGGAGGCCTTATATACCTTATATGCCCTTTTATTCTCAGGCTGATCAACAAGCTCTATCTGCCCAAGTTCTGCATCTCCACTGACTACAGCCTGGAGAACATCCTTCCACAGCTGGGCATCAGGGAAGTCTTCTCCACACTGGCTGACCTGTCTGGGATCACAGGGGACAAGAACCTGATGGTCTCTCAGGTAGAGTAGGACACACTGGCTGGTTGTCACTGTGGCCTGAATGTGGCTGATGAAAGCCTGCTGTGTGTGTGTGGGGGGGGATGAATGTGTGAAAAAGCCTGCATTTCTGGGATTATCTCATCCTGGGAGAGCTGGATTACAGCCTAGATACTCCTGCTAGATGGTATGCAGACCACCCCGCCCCGCCCCCCATCTCCCCTAAACATAATCTCACCCAGGAGCCCAAGTTCTCACGTGGGAAAGTAACCAACCTGTGCTATGCTGCAGATGCCACCCACAATGCACTGCAGGGTAAAACACTTCCGGCCTCAGCTGCTTCACTGTACAGCTGGAGAGTACCTCCTGACAGGAACACAGAACAGTAGCAGTAGAGGAATTCACAAGGGATGAGTGCATTTGAGATAAAAAAAAATCTTAAAAATGGGAGAGAGATGTTTTAGGACCTCACACTACATTCCTAGACGCACAGCCTGGCCATGCCTGGTGTTCTGTTCTGTCCAGTGCCCACTCAGAGCCCTGGACTCAGATCTGTACCAGCAGGGCATGGCAGTGTGGGAATGAGAAGCCATGCCCTGTGCATTGCTGTTGTATGTCCCAAGGAGGCTGCAACAGAGGGATGCTGAAGCCTGCACTGGCTGCCAGCATCCTGGCTGTCCCCTGTGGGTCTCCTGAGTAGCTGGTGTGGGGTAAGGACTGGCGTTGCCTATGCCCATCCTCTAGAGTGTTGTGGGTTTGAGGGCAACACAGATTCTCAGAGACTGAGCAGACTCAGGGCATGCCTCACCTCACACTCTGAGCAGAGACTTGGAAACCCCAGAGCGAGAGCTTGTGCAAGCAGAATCTCCTCTCCTGCCCTCCTGGTCTCCAGTGAGTGATGTCTTTCTCCTACAGGTGGTCCACAAGGCTGTGCTGGATGTGGCAGAGACGGGCACAGAGGCAGCTGCCGCCACAGGAGTCAGCATCTCCTTTAGGTCTAGAAAATGGTTGCCAATGACTGTGTACTTAGACAGACCGTTCCTGATGATTGTCTTTGACACAAACACTCAGATAGCACTCTTTATGGCCAAAATCACAAATCCTAAGAGGGGCTAAAACTTCACAAATGGTGAGGCTTCTTCCCAGGAGCCAGGGATTAAGCCTGTATGGGGTCTCCATGTGCATTTTGGCTTCCATGCTCTGATTGACCGAAGCATGCCTGGATTGGACAATGACAATTGACTAACTGTATGACTGGTGTAAGGATTCAGGCACTATGCTGGCTGTCCCTGTCACCTGGCAGAATGCAATCAGGCAGTACTCTGGTCAGCCCAGGGTTCCATGAGTACTAGTCTGCATGCAGGCTAAAGGACCCCTTTAAAAGAAAGGTCCCATCCTCTTAAGGTCTCTTGCTGTTCTTTCTGCTCTTACTGCTCTTTCTGTTCTCTCTGCTCTCCTCTCTCTCTGCCCCGTCTCCCTCTTCTTTTCTGTCCTCTCTGCATCTCTCTGTCTCTGTGTCTCTTTACCTCTTTTCTCTTTCCTTCCCCCTCCCTCCTTTTTCTAATAAAACTTCTCACTTAAGCTCTGTCTGCCTGGCATGTTTGTCCCCTGCCTTGGTCACTGTCGCTGGCCAAGGAATCTACCATGGTCCCCCACACAGGACCCACTTCCAGCTTTATCCTAACAGCAACTGGAACATGCACAGGGACCTGTGGACAGTCAGTGTCAGGTTCCCAGTCCTCTTGGAAAAACTGGATCATGTTCCTGAGCCTGGAGTCTGTCTTTGTGGCCCCTCTCTGCTGCCTCTACCCAAAGCCTGGGCAATGGCAAGAAGGCTCAGCCCCTGTCTAGGCTCTGGTTATGTCTGCCTTCAGCTTCCACAACCTTCATGAGAGTATACATGCATATAGGCCAAACACGTGGCCCTCAGCCCCAGGACTGATAAGGGAAACTGCCGCCCTGAGTCTATTTTCAGCATCTGGTACCACTTGGTGCTCAGTTCCTGCCTCACACTTTCCCTCTTCCAACCACTGTCCCTTCGTGCATTCCTGACCCTGCGCATATCTGGCTCAGTGTTGGGAGAGCTTATTCCTGCAGCTGCTTGGAGCCTATTGATCTGATCGGTTCTTTTCCCCCTTCTATACATACTTAGGGCAGGGGAGCCTTTTTCTAGGTTCCCAGTGACCACCGTCACATGACAGATGGACGCTTCCACCTTTCTTAACCAAAATGCAAGGCTTTGAGCAAATGGTCAATGAGTGTATATCTGCACAGAAAAATGGGCAGACACTGTTCACTCAGCAGGGGTGTGGCCTCCAGTGACAACAGCATAGTAGAGATTGTCACTCACTGTCTGTGACTCATCTGATGGACCTCTCACCTTGTGGTATCATCATTCCCTCTCATGGATGAGGAAACTGAGGCACAGAGAACCTTATTCATTTTCCCAGTAGACATTATGACTGGTGAGATGTGCTTCCAAGTGTCCTGATGGCAGAGGAACAGTCTACACAAATCTTGGGTTCTGTGTCCAAGGCATCACTGTGGTGATGGCAGATGGATCATTAAACAAGGCTCTGGATGCTTCACAGAGAGCACTCAGATGAGTCTAATGTGGTCATACATTATTTATGATTTATTAAATCTTTCATGAGGATTCAGAAAACAAAGTCAGCCACACACCTTTAATCCCAGCAGCCAGCAGCTAGGAGGCTGTGGTGCACACCTTTAATCCTAGGACTCAGAATTAAGAGGTAGATGGATCTCGTTGACTTCAAGGCCACCCAGGGATACATGAGAATGAATCAGTCTAAAAGAGTAATTGATCAAATGCCTTTAATCCCAGCAGTAGAGGGTGGTATAAAAGATAAAAACAGGGTCTTCAGTATGCAGTATGAGGGATTTATTCTCCAGCCACAGTGAGGATAGGCAGCAGTTTGAGACTTGGTGAAGAGCTTGTACATGGATCAGCCCTTTCAGAATGAGCTAGAGGTGAGAGCTAGTGGCCGGCTCCTTTGCTTCTCTGATCTTCAGCTTGAATCCCAATATCTGTCTCTGGGTCTTTTATTTATTCATGTTACAGTCTGATGATCATGTGACCTCTGTGTGGAGGTCAGAAGAGGATGAGAAGGTGGTCAGATGACCAGAAAGAATGCTTTGGGGGGGCGGGGAGGCAAAGAACACTGGAGGCATTTCTAAGAATTGTGGTAGGTTTAGAAAAAGGCAGACACTGGATGGCAAAGAGCCTGGCCCTGTGAGGACCCTCAAATGACTGCGAATGACAGGGAGCTCTGGATGAGTGGACCACTGTTCCTGTCTTTGGACCCTGGTAGCTCTGGGTGTCTGTAAGGCAGAGAACTGCTCTGGGCAGATCTGGGATTGTACTATGGCAGTTTCAGGTTAATCAGATGACATCAGAGAAGAGAATGGGTGATTCAGCTAAAGGATCAGCTGATTTAGTGCCTTGGTAGAAGACAAGAGGAGGTCATGGTGAATTGGGGTTGGGGTTCTGGGTGTCCATGGAGAATCTATGAGCCCAGAACCTCAGCCAGAGTGTTGCACGGAGAGGGAAAGTTGTCCATTCAAAATGGGACTTACTTGAGTCTCAAGGCTTCAAAGAACACACACTGAGCAGGTGGACATGTGGTTGCTGAGAATTACAGCCTGGAGGGTCACACACAGGATGCCCTTCCCCAGTGAGCACTGAGGTACCACCCTATAGCTACCACGGATTGATAAGAAGGGACCCATGCATTGAAAGCAGCCATGTCCCAACAATTGCAATTGTCCAACAGTCATTCAAGGCCCTAAAGTGGCCATCTCTTGGATTCCCTGAGCACTGACATGTGTCAGCGGCAATCCTCCATCCTTCCCGGCTTTAGGTCAGTTATCTAAGGAGCCTGGTGCTGAGTACATCTCATGCTGCCTGTGAACTGGTGCAGAAGTTGTTGACAAAGTCTGAGTCCACCTTTTAAGGGATTCTAAGACACAGATATCAAGGTTTCACTGTTCTCCATTCTTGAGGGTTCCCCCGGAATTTGATCACCAAATGTTGCCCTTGTGATGAACCCACTCCAGGAACAGCCTCGGTGTACAATAGAGGTAACAGAATGGGGGGGGGGCAGGGCTTGTTTACAGTAGTGAGTTCAGACACCTGTGCTCCAAACTAAGGCCAGGATAGAGTATCTAAAGGTAACCACACCGAGATGGAGAGTCCCCAAGAGGCAGCCTCTGTGACCTAATGATCTGCAGATCCTCACCAAGTTGTCTTTCCCTAAAACCATCACAACCACTTTCTGGGCCTTCTGAGAGGATGATGAGCTGCCACCCAGTGGCTGCCTATTTTTTGATGTTATTACTGAGGGTCACAGAGCAGACAGTATGTAGAGAGGTGTGTCAGTTAGCCTTTTATCACTGGGACAGCACATCTGAGACAACCCTCTGAGGGAAGCAAAGATTTGGTCGAAATCACTGTTTCAGAGAATTCAGGTCAGGGTCTGCTTATATCTTAACTCTGGCCCTAAGGCAAATTAAGCTTTGTGCATCTAAAGACACTATCAAGAAGATGAGGGCTAGGTACATGGTGAGGTGGGTAAAGTGCTGGTCTCACATGCATGAGGACCAGAGTTCTCTTCCCTAATAGAGAAGTAAAAAAAACAAGTGTGGTCACATGAACTTGTGGTTCCAGCTCTGGGGTGGAGACTGGTGGATCCCTGGGACTCACTGGCCAGCCAATCTAGGTAATTCAGTGAATTCCAGGTCTATGGATAGACCCTATCATATAATCAAGATGAGTGGGGAATGATGTGTGGATGACCTCTGACCTTCTTATGGATATGCTCAGAGATGCACACATAAACTTTACAAATACAGAATCACATAAAGAAAATTTTCAAGGAGAAAGAGAAGAAAGCTGTGGAGATAGCTTAGTGGGAGAAATATATAGCAGCTTAGCTTATTACGTGAAGTGTATGGTCCCAGTACAGTGAGACAGAACAGACAAACACTAGGGAGGGAAGAAATGTCTACTTCTCAGGCATCTGCACCTAGAATTCTGATGAACTCAAGTGGTTGGATAACAAACCCATCCTTCACACTCCAGGAAGGTTGTACACTTATTCTTAATAGATTTACATACTTTCAATAATGTTTAGACCAAGAGTGAGATCATGCCTCCAAATAGTCTGTAGGTACCCACACTCAGGGGACAGCATAATTTACATACTACTTAATGAATGTCAGATTATTTGAAATGTTCTTTCCTAGAAGAGCATAGTAGCTATTTCAATCATAACATGACAAACATTTTGAATTATAGCCCTACCTGTTTGATGCCCACATTCTATCCATGAGGTACTAGTGATAACTGACACTCTCACAGAAACGTCACCACTGTGGTGAAAAGTCTACATGGCTCATTGATGAAAAACTCATGATGGTGCAGAGTTGAACATTCCTTTATGGAAATAAATTATCTTGGGTTATGACTTTGTCCTCATAAATATTCTTTTATCATTGAATATGTGAAGTCAATGGGCCATTAAGTTTCAGCTGTTAAAGTTCTCTTTTTCCCTGGTACTGTAAACTCAATCCAGGTCTTGAATTTGCTGAGCAAGCTCCCTACCTCTGGGCTAACCTCCAGCCCTCTCATGGCTTTTGATGGGAAATCCCTCTAGGCCTGCTCAAAGGGATGCTCAGACTTAAATTCTGAGAGGGGATCAAGAGAGGTAAGGAGAGGGGAAAGAAGGAAAAGCAGAAGAGAAAGAAAGAGGAAGGGAAAGTAAGAGAGAAAATGCTGAAGTGAGGGGCAAGGGGAGAAGAGAGGTCAGGTGGGGAGGACTTAGGAGGGGCCTGGGAAAGAACTGCTGGAGATGAGGCTTGCACACCTGTCATCCCGGCTCTAGAGAGGCTGAGACAGGGAGACCAGGAGTGCCAGGACAGCCTGGGTATGTTAGTTGTTTTCCTTGTTGCTGGGTCACAATACCCAACAGAAGCAATTTGAATGTAAAAGGGTTAATTTCAACTCTTGTGTTCTTGGCAGGACAGTCAGGGTGGAAGGGCAAGTTTCATTCTATGGCTACAGAGGAACTGCCATGACCCATCTGAAGAATCAGGAA